TCTCTCTTCTTCTGGGACCCCTATACTGTGAATGTTGGTCTGTTTGATCTTATCTCATAATTTTCCTGTAACTCTGGGGGGAAAATAGGTTCCCAGCCCAGGGCAAATAAATTTTTGAAGCCAAAATCAGTCAAAAGGAGAAATAAAGTGGGAGAAACCCATTTATTGCCTACAAGCAATTGTCTACTCCTGCTTGCTGGTCTCTCTCACTACCTGGCTGCAAAAAAGACTCCACCACACCTCTTCAGTCCCAGTGCACGCTCGCTCTCCACCTACCATCTAATCACCTATTGATATGGAAATGACTACTTCTCTCCACCCCTTGGAAACACCTGTTTATATGGAGATGCACTAAGGCCCGGTGAGAGATTCTGGAAATACTATGATTTTACCCATATTTCCTTAGGCTATTTTTACTCTTTTTAATTTACTACTTCTTTTTGCTGCTCTGATTAGTGAATTTCACTGGTCCTTTTTTCTGCTTCATTTAGTCTGCTGTTTGAACCCCTCTAGTGTATTATTCAGTTCAATTACTATATTCTTTAGCTCTGTGATTTCTTTTTGGTACTTAAATTTTCAATCTCTTTGTTGAAATTCTCCCTTTGTTCATGTACTGTTCTCCTGAGCCCAGTGAACATCTTTATGACCATTATTTTCAATTCCTTCTCAGGTAAATGACTTATCTCTGTTTCATTAAGGTATTTATTTGCACTTTTATCTTATTCTTTCATTTAGAACATATTCCTCTGTTTGTTTACTTATCTCCATTTTGTTAAAATCAGTTTTTGGAGATTTATCTTGTTCTTTTGTTTGGGAGTACTCCCCTGTTCCCTCATTTTCCTTAATTCTCTGTGTTGCTGTCTATGCATCAGATAAAACAGTAAAAGTCTTGAAGAGGTGGCCTTATGTAGGAGATGAGCCTTATTGTCCAACCCTGCCTTAGCTCTTGGTTGTTCTCAAACCTTTGTGATTGTCTCAGTACCTACTTTGTCCTTAATTGCTCCTGATAGTTGAGGGTATGTCAAGACCTTTCAGTGTCCCAAAGGTGACGATCTCAGTCAGCACCTAGATTGAAGCTGATTCGAAGCCAGATCCTCAGGCAGCAGCTTTTAAAGTGTGCAAATATACTTCATTCAGGAGGAGACTGGGAGGTGGACATTTTTGTTTTGTCCCCCTGCACTGAGCCCTGGAGTGATAACCAGTTAAGAATCATTTCTTTCTTTGCTACTGTCCTACTGAAATTGTGAACAGAAGCCCTCCTGGTCACTTGAGCCAGGCTGTCAAGGGATGTGTCCTCTGAGTGGGAGCCTCAGAAACCAGGGTGCTAGATATGTGTACAGGCCCCATTCTTGGAGACACCAGAACCTGGGGCAGGGCAGAGGGAGAGTGAAGATGGCACCCACTGGCCTCCCCAGTCTCTGGAGAGGTTTGCAGTTTGTACTTAGATGTGTATTGAATTATAAGTCTGCCTCTTAGGCCATAGCTATGAAGATAAGTTAATAGGCCTCTTGCACAGAAAAAAATCTTTCTGCTGCCTCTCTGCTATGCCCTGGGGGATAGCTGGTTATGAACTGTTTCTCCATTTGTTACAGTGCTGTGGGACCCAGACTATGGGTACTGCTTTCTACCAGAACCAGATGGTGAAGGGGTGACTCCTGGGCAACAGTTATAAAAACTGGGGCACTATACCTGTGCACACACTCCTTTCTGGGAGATACTGGTGAGCTGGAATGGGGCAGAAGGAGAACACAAAGATAGTGTCCTCTGGTCTCCTTGGTCTCTGGAGAATATCTCAGTAGGCCTCTAGCTGTATGTTAAATTAGATGCCTGCCTTTCAGGCCAAGTTTTAAGACAAGCAAATAGACCTCTTTCACTGAAAGACTAGGCATTTCAGTAGGCTGCCTCTGCCCCAGGCCCTGGAGTATAGCCGCAGTGAGCCTGCACAAGTCCTTTGAGAGCTGCTCATCAGTCCACTATTGCCTTGTGGGTGTGTGGACTCAAGGTCTGTTGGGTCTCAAAGCTAGGTGTTCTGGGGGCTCATCTTTCAGGTGCATGTCTTAGAATTTGGGAGCCAGACATAAACCTTTCACTGCTCAGGGAGAAGCTCAGAGTTGTGAGTTTCCTCCCAGTTGTTGTTTGCTGTGCCAGAGAAGGGGTTTATGGCAGATTGTGTCTCAGCCTCTTCTACCTGATTTGATGTGGGTTTTTCTTATTTCCCTGATGTGTAGAAATCATTGAACTAGCTTGGAGGGTTTCTTCTGTTGTCCAGCATTTTATCTGCATTTTTTTAACAGACTTTATTTTTTTTAGAACAGTTTTAGGTTCACTGCAAATTGAATGGAAAGTATAGAGATTTCTCACTTACCCCTCTAACCCCACATATGCTGTCTGTCAACATCCCCCATCAGAGCTACATTGACACATCACCACCCAAAGCCTACAGTTCACATTAGGGTTCACTCTTGGTGTTATACAGGCATACTTCATTTTATTGCACTTTGCTTTATTATACTTTGCAGATCCTAAGTTTTTTACAAATCGAAGGTTTGTGGAAATACCAAGAGACCTAGAATTAGAAATGGAGACTGAAGATGTGACTGAATAGTTGCAATCTCATGATAAAATTTGAATGGATAAAGAGTTGCTTAGGGATGGATAAGCAAAAAAAGTGGTTTCTTGGGATGCAACCTACTCCTGATGAAGATGCTGTGAAGATTGTTGAAATGACAACAAAAGATTTAGAGTATTACATAAACTTAGTTTATAAAGCAGTGGCATTGTTTGAGAAGATTGACTCCAATTCTGAAAGAAGTTCTATTGTGTGTAAAATGCTATCAAATAGCATTGCATGAAAGGAAATTGTTCATGAAAGGAAGAGTAAATTGATGTGACAAACTTTACTGTTGTCTTATTTAAGAAACTGTCACAGCCACCCCAACCTTAGCAACCACCACAGTGATCAGTCAGCAGCTGTCAACATCATGCAAGACCCTTTACTAATGAAAAGATAAAGACTCACTGAAAGCTCAGATTGTGGTTAGCACTTTTTAGTACTAAAGTATTTTTTGATTAAGGTGTGTACATCATTTTCTAGACATAATGTATTGCATACCTAATATACTACAGTACAGTGTAAACATAACTTTTATGTCTTGGGCAACCAAAAAAAGGATTTTACTTGCTTTATCACAGTGGTCTGGTACCAAATCTGCAATATCTCTGAAATATGTGTGTTTATTTTGTGGGTTTTGATACCTGTATAATAATATATACCCATTATTATAGTGTCCAACAGAATAATTTAATTGATCTAAATAACCTCTGTGCTCTGCCTATTCATACCTCTGGACTTTTTATTTCATAAAAAAATTTCAAATAATTTTATATTTGAAAATATTTTTGATAGAGCTATTTAATAGGTCTTTTAACACTGTAAAACTACTTTCTTGATTAATAAATATTTCAAAAAATTAAATATTTTTAGAGCCTACTTTTACTTTCAAAGGGGCCCCAACTTGGATGATAAATTACATGGTCTCTATAATTACAGTCTACATTTTACCAGGAGAAAAACTGGTCCCCAGAGAGAGACTCTCCCTCATGTGTCTGGCCAGTCTGGTATAGAATAGAACTAAAGCCTGGTGCTCTGGATTTTTGTAATCTCTATTCCAAAGACACGAAACCCACTGAGGAGGTAACTCGAATCTCAAGGCTTATGACATCCTTACCTTGTTTAAAGTAGTTATGAAAGTGAGGTTGCTTCTATATTTCTAATTCACGCATGAGAAAATTCACTGAGTAAGTAAGTAAATAATGTACCAAATAAGGAACAGAATAAATTGCAAGAAGTCTAAAAGATCACAATTCAGTCAAGAGATCACAACTCAGTCAGGCAATTGAACACCTGCCTACAGAAGATGGAATACTGTGGAATGGAAGGTTGGATTTAAAAAGGGTACAATGCTTTTAGAGAAGATCCCACAAATGTTTGATGGTATTTTGAGGCTGAAATAGAGTTTCATTTGCATGTTTCTGGTATGTCTGTTTATCCAGTAAAATGAGTCTAGGTTCTGTTCAAATGCATACTAAACTTGCCTAATATGATGATTACAGACTGTAGTATCACTGACATATAAGTTTAACACAGTGTTAGCATCCAAAGAGTGAAGTACTTACTAACTTTTACATAACGGATCAGAAGGGTTTGGTTTTCATAAGGACCAATTTCTTTTATATTCTTTTAAATATGTATTTCAAATACGTTCTCCTGTAAAAACATATTGTCATCCTAAGACAGGAAAGAGTAATTACTCTTTTGCCAAACAGATCAAAAGGGTAAGGGAAATGACCAATACATGAAAAGAAATGGTAAGTAACACAGAATGGTGTGTGGAATTTATTTTCTACCCCCAGGAATTTTAAGATATGTTGCTGTTCTGCTTTGGGGAAGGTAGAAGCAAACCAACCCCCAAAGGCCAAGAGGCTGTGAGATCAAAGAAAGAGGCTGACAAGTCCAGCTTGAGTTCTGCATAGGCTTATTGAGGGGATCTTACCCAGACAAGTTTGCCCTGGGAGGCCCCAGGACTTGTAGATCTGTACCACTTTGGGTTTAGGGAGACTCAGTTTTAGAGGCAGGGGAAAGGGCTGACATACAAGGGTAACGTAGAGGAAGGGTCTCCGCACAGGGCAGCCACCTGTGTGCTCAGTGAAACAGGCTGCTGTCCCAGTATTATTGCTAGAATTTAGAACAAGGAGTCCTGCCCCAGGGAATGTTATTAATTGTTCCAAGCTAGATATTATCTAAGGAATACTTGTGTGTCAAAGGGAAAGGAGTGTAAAGGTGATTCATCAGTCAATGTTGCAGATTTGACAAGATGGCATTCTTCTTGTTCACAGAAAGTTGCATAGATGTTATGCTGGTGAAAGGGAATTTACTTCAGATGTTTTATTTGTACATGGTATGAAGATGTGTTTTTATTTTACTTACTTATTTTTGTCAGGCCTCTCTATCCGGAGTGTGTGCTGGAAAGCAGACCGCCTCTTAGCAGGCACCCAGGACAGCGAGATATTTGAAGTGATCGTTCGTGAGCGAGACAAACCGATGCTGATCCTGCAAGGCCACTGTGAGGGGGAGCTCTGGGCTCTGGCCCTGCACCCCAAGAAGCCACTGGCTGTGACAGGTAGTGATGACCGCTCTGTCAGGTGAGGCCCCAGCGTTGGCTGTCATCTTGTCACTAACTTCTTAGGGATAACAGATTTATTTGGCCCCAAATTTGCTTGTTACTTAGGAGGAGGATAAACCGCAGTGTAGAACCATACAGTTTCTAAATGCAATGTAAAGCATTTGGCTCAGTAACAGTTGGCTTCCTGGTGTACTGTTTTTGCTATCTTTCTTTGGCTCCATCATAAGTGGTGAAAATGCTCTTTGAAGTGAAACTACAATACTACTGGTGAGACTGGCTTCCACTTGCCTTGCAGTTGAAGATATAAGCTAAGCACCCCTCATCTGTGCTAAGATCCTGTCTCCTCCTCCTGCTTTTGGTCCTCTGCAGGGATTGATTCCACAGTTTAGTCATAGACATTCATTGCCATTCGAACTGAAATTCCAATTTTCCAAATTGTCCTCAGCTTTGTTACATGAGTAAATAATTATTTCCTTGTAAATGCCCAAATGGAATTTTGAATATTGTCCTCAGTCAACAGGAAGTGCTGGTTCTTGAGAAAAAATGTGGTTTTATTAGGGCCTCAAGGGTTCTTGCATTTGTTATTCTTGGATAGCAGGACATGCATGAAATGAACAAAATGAGTATGCTTCCACTCTTCCTCTGTTGAAGGACTGAATATGTGATTTAAAAGTATGAGATGGAGATAACTACATGTGTAGATTTCAGTTATCTTTATTACTGAGTTTTAAGTATGCTCAAAAAAGGCCAGAAAGAATGAATGATGTTGAAAGGAAGAAACTGATTGATCAAGCGATTGATTACTGCTTCTGGGTTGATAGCTAAAATAGAACATTGTAAACTACTAGACGGTATTGCCTCCCCCCACCCCTGCCCTTATCGTGTATGTTTGTGACTCTAAGCAAGAGACAATCAGTATACTCATTAATACAGTATATATCCAAAAATAAATCAATTTTTTAGTCTCTATCAAACACTAAAACCTCATCAAACTAAAAATCAGTGGAAATGATGACACTTGTCTCCTCCTGTGATGTAATGTTTATTTGGTTTACACTTCTCTTTACTCACTTCCTCCTCTTCTCTTCCTTTTTCATCCATCCCTCTGAGCTTTCCCCTTACAGTTAGAACAAGGCCAAGTTATCCAAGCACCTGAGAAACTCAACTCATACCCACCCAGAAAGAAATGATTTCCAGAAAGTCTTTGGCTTTTGTATTTTAACAACTGTGTTGAGTCTCAGCATTATAATCATCAGCCCTGACTTCCAGAATTTGTCTGATTCCCCTTAACTATTAATTTGGCTAAAATTTTAAATTTAATTTAAATGTAATTTTACACTGAGTATTGAAATTTAAGGCAGGCATAAGTTATGATTTCTTGAGAAAGGATAGTATGGTTTGCTGAGGAGTGATGATTTTTTCATGCCAAAAGAGCAAAGCTTATATTACTTAAAATAGTACAAGGCTAAAACAGCATGAGATTATGAATAATGGACAAGCATTGAAAGAATACCATAAGCTTTAGGCTGAGCATTGCAGGCTGCCTAGGGGATCAGCCAAGTACTCACTGGGCAGCTCTGCATTGTGAGGAATGTGCCCCCAGCCCTCCTGATGGCAGGATGCATTTAGAGAAACTGTACTACATGTGACATATTCTTGCCCTTCTAGATTTCTCAGCACCCCTCACAGATACTATTGATTGGGTGTTAAGAGAAGACTGTCTTAAAAATCCTAGCAGACAGAGGTCAGATATCACAATTTCAACTAATGTGTAAACCCTTATTAGTATCTTTGAATATTTGAATATTTAGTTCATATTCACTCAGTTTGAGGTACCTGGATTATGTTCCAGGAGCTGCTGAAAACTGTGTTAACTGCACTTGCCCCTTGACCTCCATGCGTCCAGCACTAGCTGTGCTCCTCATCTGGGGGCACTGAGAAGTCTGCCCAGACCACGAGTGGACCTATCTGCAGGGGGGCACCTGGGGAGCTTGTGAATGACAGCAGATGACTGTATATAGCCAACTTTGGAACCCTCCTGGGCAGGGTTATCATTTGCTCTTCGGCATCTCAGATACATTTTCTTTCTTGTGAGGTCAATAAATGGAATGTGTATTTCAATCTGTATGTGTTCAAATAACATAGTTACTGGAAGAGTACTCATGTTTTTTAAAAAACTAATAATGGTAGCATTTTGTAGTACTTCTTATTCTATGAGTGTTATTAACAACTATTGGAATAAAGAATAATTTTTAATTTCCAAAGATAAAAGTAAGATTTTCTATGAAGTAGAGTTCAATTTTCCCTTATTTTATGAATCTCAGTATCTTTGGAAATGTTACCTCCTTTTATATTTCTTGCTGGGTATTTCAATTGATGAAAGTAAGTCAAAGATAAACATCTTCCCGGATGCCCAGACATGCCATGAGGAAGGACACTTAGTGTGAAGCTACGGTGTCCTTTCTTATTATCAGAGTGGTGAGCAGGCCTTCCAGCCTTGGGCTGGCTGATGACTGAGAAGTTGGTTTTGTTTTGTATTTTACTTTGCTCTTATGCTCAGGCTGTGGAGCCTGGCTGACCGTGCCCTGATCGCCCGCTGTAACATGGAGGAAGCAGTTCGCAGCGTTGATTTCAGCCCAGACGGATCTCAGTTGGCCTTGGGCATGAAAGACGGCTCTTTCATTGTTCTCCGAGTCAGGCATGTACTGATATTGAAAATGATATTAGAGATGCTCTTCTGTTAAAATAATTTTCCTGGTCATAATGTCTGCTAGGACATCAGGAAAAATGCATTTAGTCTTTCAAATAGGAACAGTATAGATTCACAGTCTTCTATCTGCTGTTTGAAAACCCAAATCCTCTTATGAAAATCCACAGCTCTATGATAACCTATTTGGCAGCACAGCCTGACCCAGTGAACTGATGTGAGACTGTTCAGAGTCTATTAATCTCTTAGTAGGAATAATCATATGTCATGGGATTTGCTGCAAAAACATTAATGTGTTTAATACGGGTGCTTCCTTATCTCCCACTGAGGGTGTTACATAATATATTGTATATGAACTTTCCAAAACCCAATGAATAATGAATTTCCAAGCTCATCTGGTCCCAAGGGTTTTAGATAAGAGATTGTGGGCTTGTTGTAAGCCAAGAAAAGAGGAAGAAAGAAGAAAGCATCCTCCAACAGCAGCAAATTTTTAGAGCCAACGTTGTGTGAAAGATTTCTTCCACCTATAATTGACAATAAAATGGAATATTTTGTATTTATTAACATCTTATTTTTACTGAGCAAAAATTATGACCCACACTTGTAATTCCTCTGAACACATCGGTGGTTGTTTTGGCTTACACATTTTGTCATTATAGGAAGGAAATAAAGTTGTAAATTAGATACTACATGTTTTGCACATAGAAAATTCTGTGTAGCTTTGAAAAAAACTCTTGGCATGGTTTATTATCCTAAATTCACATTACCAGCCACACATAACTTATTACTGAATTGGTGGGTAACATTTTTTTTCTCTGGTTAGTGATGGTATAAAAAGGTGGTTAATTAACAGATTTTCTTTTCTTTTTTTTTTTTATGGATTCTCCCCCACATCTATTTGATGATATTTATAGTGAACTATAATGCAATCAAAAATTGCTAGTAGGAGGACAGGAATTATTATGTAGAAGAAACATTTGACATTATTTATGCCTTCAGTTTGTTTTGGAGTTGATGAAGGCATCGTTACTGGCTCAGGGAACCTGCTAGTCATAATCCAGTCATAGTTGTAGGAAAAGAACCTCAGTGAACTGTCAAATGAGGGCAGAAATTCTTACCAGAATCTGATCAGAGAGAATGCAAAGTATTCCAGTGATTTGATGTATGCATTACTGATCTTTCATAATTAGAGTTAAATAATTACATAAAAATTTAACATTAAAAATATAATTTTCCTCTTTTTGAATTTACTTTTTATAGCAATAAGTACCAAGCTTAATAGTTACTGGTTTCTTGTTCATAAAGTATAAAAAAGATAGTTTATTTTTTTGTTAGCCTTTGTGTATTTTACCTTTCTCCATGACATATTTTTAATAGTTTATAATAGTTTTAATAGTTTATAAACTCCAATTTTTTAAATGAGATGACTTAAGGAAAGATAATATATAATTGAACATGAAAGCAAATACACATTTCATTCAACTTTATTGTTTTTACTTTGGAAACCCCAAATATTATTTAAAATGCTTATGAATTTTTCCTAAATTGGCCATGAATTAAATAATATTTTGTATCTTTCCTCAAAATTAATCCTTTTATTCATGTCGTTTTTTTCTACCTTACAGAACAACTTTCTCTCCTGCACACAAAGTTTAAAAAGTGAGTTAGGGTTCCTCTTTCTAAATTTGCTGCTTATCACTTTGCTTTTTATTCCTTTAGAGACATGACAGAAGTGGTTCACATCAAAGATCGCAAAGAAGTAATTCATGAAATGAAATTTTCTCCAGATGGATCTTATCTTGCAGTGGGGTCCAATGATGGCCCAGTAGACGTCTATGCTGTTGCCCAGCGGTATAAGAAAATAGGAGAATGCAACAAGTCTCTTAGTTTCATTACGCACATTGACTGGTCTTTGGATAGTAAATACTTGCAAACTAATGACGGTGCAGGAGAACGACTGTTCTACAAAATGCCATGTAAGTCCCGCAGGCACTGGGCATCTGTGCAGAGCAAACATTGAACCACAGATGAGACTGTCATGGTAGCCTCAGTGCCAGGAAGGTTTTCTGAAACAAAACCCCCAAATCACAAACTCAAAGACAAGATCAAGCAATTAGAACATATTAAAATGAGAAATTAATGCACAACAAAAGATACCGTGAATAAAATGAAATACAAGGCATAGCCTGGACATAAACACTTAAAACTGTTTCATGGACAAAGGATATATATACCTAGAACATACAGAGAATGACTAAAGATAAATGAAAGGAAAAGTATCCTAGAAAACTATTTAAAAATACTAAAGACTTGAGGGATCACAGTCCTCATTTACTGTAATGGCTGTAGTCTCAAATCTGTGCTTTTCATAACTGGAAGCTCTTATTATATGATTATTTAGTGAAATGTGCTAATTGGGATTAACAAAAAAACATTTTTCATTAGTAAATGACATTATAACTTTTATAAGAGATTCATAAAAAAAATCTCTGACTTATATAACACTTGTTAGAGGCATTTAGTTTGTAATATTAGTCATAAATAAAAGATTAACTTCTATATTATAATTTTTGATTAATAATTTTTTAATGTAAAAGGAAAAATCTAATATTGAGCATGAATCTTGTCCTCATATAATTGTATCTTAAAATTTTTATTGAAAAGTTAATTTTATCATGAAATAATGTTTATCATGTAACTTAAGCTTTTTAAAGAGTCTGCTCTATAAAATTCATCAGTGCACCATCACTAGGTGCATATTTCTTTCTCTCTACTTTCTTTGCTTGATATTATTTCACATGTATTGTCCATATATGAAAAAGTATGAAATACATGTATGTCATTTGCAATAACAAAATAACATCCTGCTCAGTGATATTATCATAACTTGATTTTTCATTTTCCTGTTATTGGGCATTTGGGCTTATTTCCAGTTTCTTTGCTGGTATAGACAGTGCTGCTCCAAATATCTTTGTACAGGTGGGTTTTCCTCTTCTGAGTAACTTGCTTGGATTACATTCTCCAGAGTGGGAACACTGGGCCAAAGACTGTATTCCAACTATCAACTCTCTGATTTTATGGTCTTTTTAATGAATTTTTATAAAACGCCATTACAGTCCAGAATTTCTGGGTGCTAATTTGACAATGCACAGTAATATACAAGAGCATTTATTCTCATTGATGATTCATTATTTGAAAATAAATATTTTGAGGGGGAAAGTATTAATAGTACACTTAATTGTCTCAATTTTGAGTTTTAAAATCATGGTTACCTCTTTCCCAAGCCTTTCTTTATCAGTGTATTTCTTCCTTTGTGGGCTCCGTGGGGACATCCTCACCAGCTACTGGCAGGACCTGGGCATTGCGCCCTGCAGTTGAGGACAAGCGTAGTAGAGTTGTTGGGCCTTTTTCCTTAATCAATTACATTTATTTCATCAAAATTTGGTGGCTTTTTATTGTCTAACATTTTTTACATTTAATTAACAAAACTCCATTAATTTTTTGCACTAAATTTTGAGCTTAATTTTAAAAAACCACTCTTTGGTTCCTAATATCATGAATACTAGATGTTCAGAATAAAATTTTTTAAAAACTTGGCAAGATCCTGGTAACTAACTATGATAATATATAATTTAATAAAAGTCATTTCCTCAGTAACACAGAGCATAATATCCTTGTATCTAAATAAAGTCAGGTAAATTTTAGCTTGAGACATTACATTTACTACCGTGATCATTTTCTTGCTCATGTCTGAGCTTTGATCATGTTCCTTCTGAAAAAACTAATGAATTGGGTAGAAAATCTATAGTTTACTTGGTTTATAGAAGTTATTTTTTAAAAATTAAAAATTTTAAATCTAGGTAAGAAAAGAAAAAGGAAAGTAAATTAAACTTTTAAAAACAATATGCCTTGTATTTAAAAGTAACATTATGTTAACATTTATTCATTATTTTAAGCTGGGAAGCCTTTAACAAGTAAAGAAGAAATCAAAGGGATTCCCTGGGCCTCCTGGACATGTGTGAAAGGTCCTGAAGTGAGTGGAATTTGGCCAAAATACACTGATGTGACTGACATCAATTCAGTGGATGCAAATTATAACAGCTCAGTGCTGGTATCTGGAGATGATTTTGGACTGGTTAAATTATTTAAATTTCCTTGTCTCAAGAAAGGTAAGGCTAAAAGAAATGTTTTATTGAATAAAGAGTAAACCTAGAATTATGTGCAATATAATTAAGGCTTATTTTCTCTGTGTCTATTCCTGAAGGCTATTCATTTTATCTTTATATTTGTTTTTACTCTTCAGTACTTTTAAATAGAATGTGTTATTAATGTCATTTTCTTTGACATTCTAAAATATGTGGTTTTGCAAATTTAAGTCAGAATGTGTTAACAGTTATTACTCACCATTTTGTGATTCATAAGCCTCATGTTTCACATTTTAAACAAGTCATATTATTTATATTTATGTAAATAAGTATTCATAATTTAAATTACTTATATTACATTAAAATACTGTAATTAAAATTATTTTATGCTTCACAACCAATTGTGCTTATACATGGAAATCAAAGCAAATCCTTTTAGACATATTTAAAATAAACCTTGAAAGTGATTGTTCTGATGGTAATATAGTTTGTGAACCTCTTGTCATAGCACTAATTTTGCAAACCAGATTTAAATAACTGAAATTTTTGAGAGAGAAGTTTGTTTCAAAACAGCCCCCTCTGCCCCTTGCATTTTTTTTTTATTGTTGTTAAAATTTTGTCACTTCAAGTTTTGTGACACCTTCAGACTTCGTAGAAAGTGAATTAATCATGTAATAACCCAGCCTTCTTTGTTCAAAAGTTTAGGCAATGTCTATTCACACATTTTTCTGAAACTCTGTGCCTGCACCCTGAGAATCCAATCTTAGGAAAGTGATCAGTAGGGACATGCTGTTGCCTGAAAACTCACCTGAACGATTTTTAGATTAAGCAAGGAAAGGGATTGAAAAACATAATCAAAAAGTCATTTTCAGCTAACTGGCAGTTTTGAAGCAGTGACAGTAATGGTACAAAACTGAATAGCAAAACCACCATCACTTATACTTGACAAAATGACTATCAGTTTAAAATGCCTGAAGGCACAAAATTACCTCAGTGTGCCTAATTCAAACTCTTTTCTTTCTCCCTAATGGGTCTTTTGAATAACAGGGCGTATCTTGTTAGATTGAGTAATAGACCTGCAGAACATACATTAGGCAACCAAAAGGTATCTGGGAATTCAGATTTCGTAAGAAACAGCATTGAGGTCAAAAGCAATATTATTGGTTGCAAGTCCAATACTATTAGTCAGGCCTAGGAATAAAGTTAACTCAGTGAGAGTTAGCATGTTGTATCACCAAGCCTTGTAGTGTCTAGAAAATAGCAATGTCTGTCTTGGGTTTGTTTATTAGAGTGGGGGTGAGGAGGCAGGGAGTGAGTAGTGCTGTGTGTCAATAGAAGGCTCTCTTATATGTAAAACAACCCTGAGGATGATGGCACACGAGACATTTGAATGAGTAAGGAAAGGTTGACAGCCAGAGAGACAGTATGGGGGGAGAGTAATAATACCCACCTCAGCAATCTGCAAAAGTATACATGTACGCATAGCAAATTGACTTGTTCTACTTTTCATGGCGTATGGTTTATAAATCCTGCACTTTCCTTGAAGACATTCAGAATTTTGTGACCTTTATGTGCTAAAACTACTGGTGGAGAAGTTTATAAAAGAGTGTTGTTAATGAGAATGGTAACAGTTGGTAAAACTTGTTTCCCTCTAACCCAGGGAATCAGTGACAAGTATTCCCCCCAATTTTTGAACCTATAAACAGCCAAGTATGAGCAGGGGCTAAGGACTATGAGAAAATGTGGAGACTGAGCAAACATTATAGTTTTCTATATATTGTGATTAAACAGAACTCAAATAATGTTAATGGACACATTACAATTATATGTGTGTAGGATTCTGTTGCACAGTAATAGGCAGAAGTGTTGTTCTGCAGTCAATGAAGTGATTACCTCTGCAGGGGGTATTTGAACTTTGAATGTGATAGTTGAACAGATAGCCTTTTCCCCGAGTGAAGAGATTTCACTTTAGAGGGACTGTAACAGGTAGGAGTGCTTCTGAAGGGAAGATGGGGTCCTTCTTGGCCCCTGAAATGGCACCTACTCTTTGGAGTACTAGGCTTCTCATAAGATGGACCCTGCTTATTTCCATGAATGCCTTGATACTGCCGTCTACCAACCATAAACTACAGATACAAATTTAAATAGCTTTTCCATCACATTCACTACCTGGGTGTGTTGCTTACTGAATAAAGCAATCAAGAGGAACAAACTTCATTTTCCATCTCTCTACCAATATGACCCCAAACAATAATTTGTCTCTTTTTCCATGGATTTGTTTTCTGTTTCCCTGTTGCAAAAGACTGCCTGTTTTAGATAAGAATGTGTAAGATATTAATTCTTTGGCACTTATTTTCAGAATCAGTGAAGCAGTAGGCATTATTTGGAACAGGTTAGGATGTATCTTTACCCACAGAGCTTAAATTTTAAGACACATTCTTAGCTTAATCCATACGGGAATAATTGACATATCTTTTGGATCATTTGCCTATTTGTTATGATATATAAGACTGAAAATGATTATTTTCTAATATAGTGAACGATTTTATTCAAACATGAATAGAAATATAATTTTCTTAACCAAAGAATTCTATTTTTTTCACGTTAATAATCTCCTCCTCAAAAATATCTTTTCAGGAGCCAAATTTAGAAAGTATGTGGGCCATTCTGCACACGTCACAAATGTCCGCTGGTCCCACGATTTTCAGTGGGTATTAAGTACAGGAGGAGCTGACCACTCAGTTTTCCAGTGGAGATTTATTCCAGAAGGTGTCAGCAATGGCCTGTTGGAAACTGCACCCCAGGGTAAAACCATTTTTCAAAATTGGTTTATTTATTTTTTTAATTTCAAGAAGGTTCTCTTTTGGAGATAGTCAAGGCAATTTAAAAAATCATTCTTGTAATAAATTTTAAAATAAAAAAAGAACAAGAAAAACTTTTGAGATAAATATGAATCAGTTGGATAGTTTCCTTCAAAGGATTTTGCTTCTGCCAGATGCAAGTTGAAGTTTGAAGGTTTATATGAAGAATTAACATTTGAAAAAACATGAGTGCATATGTTTCAGCCTCCTTAGGATGATTGGAACAGTCGTGGGTGAGGCTTTGGGGGTGACAGAGTAATCTTTGTGATTAGAGTTGCCTCCAGAATGAGGCTCAAAGAATTGTCCACAGTTGGGACTAATGTGTTCCAGTTCAATGGGCATGTAGTCTTTTTACTGATTGTGTTGCTAGCAGAAATTATCAGGCAATAAAATGAAAAACTACATGAGGAAATGTTTTCATTGGAAAGGTTCTGCAGTTTTTGACCATGGCAATTACCAGTCAGTCTCTATGAGGATGAAATTGGTGGGCATGTTAAAAGGCTAAACAGGATATTTACTGAACTAAGTGGTTAGGTTTCCTTCTGCTCCTGTCTTCTCTTTGGTAAAACCTTCCCTCTTTTTTTGCCCTTTCTAAGCAAGATTTAAAAACCAAAGATGTATTATACAACAGTGTGAAAATAAGAAAATAAGTGTTCTGTTGGTGAGGGTAGAGGGAGGGGAGTTGTTCTAATCTGTTAATGCTCCTGAAAGGGGATGGTGGTGTGCTGAATTTAACCAAAAGATGAAAGAATCCACATCAAATGAAGTCTTTGGTGTGGTTATTTTTTATTTACTTTGATAGGTTAGAAGAAAGAAAATATTTTAAGTAGAACTTTGAGCTATTTAGTGTTAGAATTTTTCCTTATTTCTGCAGAAGGTGGCTCTGATTCCTACAGCGAAGAATCTGATTCGGATTTATCTGATGTGCCAGAGTTGGACTCTGATATTGAGCAGGAAACTCAAATCAGTTACGATCGCCAGGTCAGTAAGCAGGGAGTCTCAAACAAATGCCTGATAACCCAGGATATCAACCCCTGGATTTGGATATTGAACTAAAAATGGTTGGTACTTAGGCAGAAGGAAAATTGCCTACTTCTTGTCTTTAAATACTAATTAAAAATAATATAATTACCTTATCACAAATCATAGTTTTTTTAAGTGGAAGGTAATAGCAAAATTTCAAAACTGAACCCATGACAATCAGAGTTTTCTGCCTCCCTAGCACCTAAATTTTTAAAAAGGTAGCCTTGAGCTGTGGTAGTTTGTTTGCAGATGAACTGTTATCCCGGTTTCCCTCTTTTAACTCATGGAAACCCTTATCCACTTAACGTAAAAGGCCAAACACACTGCACATTATCTCTTCAGTCAAAAATTATCTTTAGTAGAGAAGTTGGGCAATTACTACAAAACCGGGTCCAATTTTTGTAAGTAGACATTTCATTTTAGCACTGAATGGTGAATGTTTAGGAGAGCAATTCTTCAGAGGAATCTGGACACATAGTACTTTTTTATGGTGATAATTAGAGATTTTGTTTTCTTTCTGGTCATTTAACAAAGGTATGTGAAGCAGATTCTGTACATGAATGTGAAGTGAATAAGATTTCGGATTTCAGACACAGCAACTGTCAGTGTTGCCCATGGAGACTTATTTGATACGCCTATGGCCGCTGCCACGGATCAAGTGTCTCTAAGGGCCAGATCCTTTGCTTTACAGTTACCAAATTCAACTCTACAGTAACCCTAAGAGGTTAAGTAATTTGCCCATGTCCACATTGCCTGTAGTATTAGGATAAGAATGTGGATCCGAGCTCCTCTCCAAAGTGCACATTTATGTACTACTTGGCTTTGCCCCTTAATGAGCTCTGAATTTACCTTTTCTCAGATGATGATATTTTTTTTCCAGCCCTTAGATATCACTCACTGATTCAGTGTTTGAAAAATTAGATTAGTACAAAGGCACTCCAACTGATGGTTTGGGTCAACTGCATGACTAAATCAATTTGACTGAATATTGATCCAATGTGTTATATAACAAAACTAAAGATAAGGATTTGAAAGAAAATTATTAATATGGAAATATCATATAAACACAATACTTTTATACCAAGAGGAAATGGAACTTAAGCAAAATGAATATAGCATTTAGGGAAATAAGAAGAGCTATTTTCTTGAGATATTATTATTTAATAAAATATAGTAAGAGAATGAAGAGGCATAACTATATTGAAATGTGTGCCTGGGACTTATCTGTGCTCCCTGACATCCTACTTTCTAAAACTTTCACCTGTATTACTTGGTTTACATTGTTTATGTTTGATTCCTGAGTTGTTCCTGAGCAGGGATTTTTTATTCTGTTCTTCAGATGGGAATCTGAGGCCCACAGAAGTTATGAGACTTGTTCAAATAAGCAGTTAGAAATGCCAGGGTTAGAATTCAGGGCTGTAAAATGGTTGATGAGCTGATGAAAGCATCATGAATTCAGATGAATAATTATCTTTAGATTGTAAAAGATTAGTTCATTGCATCTATAATATAACAGTAATAAGATATCTTCTGAATTCCTTTTAAAAAAAGATTTCTGGTCAAGTCCTAAACAGGGACTTAATCACAGTATTTCATAGTTTTTTTAAAGCAGTATAGTTTGATCAAATGAACACTTTCCTTTATGAAAATGAAAAATTAATAGATTTATTTCATTTTGAATGTCTTAAATTCATATCTCTTGATAGTATGGCATAAATGCCTGGTACACAAAAGATTAATTTTTATCTACATTTAAGTTAAATTTTGGGAAACGTTCTTTCAGCAGTATGTTTTGGGTTCTAGGTTAGACCAAGAGCTTTGCTTTGCTGTGTATCTCAGAGTCTGATCTGTTATGATGCCTGAGATTATGAAAGGAAGATAATTCCAAGGAGTGATCACCATGATTCATGAGATTCACATTTTGCATATGTCAGAATCATCAAGAGATGTCTTGCCTTAGAATAAATTACAAGAAAATAATTTATTTATACTTGATTATTTCATTTAAAAATTTCCTTTATTTACCAGATAATGTCATATCTTCTGAATATAAATTAAGAAACATATTAGCAAATTAAGAAAAAATTTAAATCCCAATGATTTAAAAGTCATTTCAAGCTTTACTAGAAGAAAATAAGATGTCTCACATCTTCTGTTTTCAATTTTGTTCTTTCCAATGAAACAACTCTTAGTTTTGTTATTCTTTTCTATTGCTTTCCTATCCTCTACTTCATTTATTTCTGTTCTAATCTATTATTTCCTTCCTTCTGCTAAGTTTGAGTTTAATGTGTTCTTTTTCTAGTTTCTTGAGGTATAATGTTGTTTCTCTGAGAGTTTTTTTCCCCTTAATGGATACATTTATAGCTACAGACTTTCCTTTTAGAACTATTTTTGCTGTGTCCCATAAGTTTTGGTATGTTATGTTTCCATTTTCACTTGTCTCAAGTTTTTTTTATTTTAATTTCTGTTTTGATTTCTTCTTTGATCCACGGACTGCCCAGGAGTGTTGTTTAACTTCCATATATTTGTGAATTTTCCAGCTTTCGTTCTGCTGTTGATTTCTAGTTTCATACTATAGATAATTAATGCAATTTCTATCTTCTTGAATATATTGAGACTTGTTTTGTAGCCTAACATATCTGTCTATTCTGGAAAATGTTCTGTGTTTGCTTGAGAAGAATATATTCTGCTGTTGATGGATGGAATGTTCTGTATGTGTCTGATGGGTTATTTGGTCTGTAGTGTTGTTCAAATCTGCTGTTTCCTTATTGATTCTCCACCTGGATCATGTACCATTGTTGAGAGTGGGGTTTTAGAGTCTGTAACTATTATTGTATTGATGTCTATTTCTCCTTTTAATTGTGTTAGTGTGTACTTGTCCTTCATATATTTAGGTGCTCTGATGTTGGGTCCATAAAAATTTACAATTGTTACATTTTCTTGATGACCCCTTTATCATTATATAATTACTTTCTTTCTCTCTTGTGACTATTTTGGCTTCTTATGTTTTCAAAAACTTGATTCCTGGCAATGAAAGATTTCCTGAGAATACCAAGCTATCAATGTTTTTGAAACATGAAGAAAAAAGAGTCTCAACTAAATGTTTCTGTTGTGCTTTAAGGTTTACAAAGAAGATCTACCTCAGCTAAAGCAACAAAGTAAAGAGAAAAACCATGCAGTGCCCTTCCTCAAACGAGAAAAGGCTCCCGAGGACAGCTTGAAACTCCAGTTCATACATGGGTGGGTGGCCTGTCACCAGACTTATCACCAGGCTAAGGAGGTCTGCTCTTCCTGGTGCAATCCCACTGCAGGCTGGCTGTTCTCTACAGTTTGCACTTGCCTATGGTTAATATGTTAACCATGATTTTCTGTCCAGTTTTCTCAGTTGATGTTCTGTTGCCCTCACAGTGTGTGTATCTGGATTTTCCATACTCATGTACTTCTGTGATATATATGTTATTGAGGCTCATTGTTATGTCATTTTCTCCGCCATCTCTGCTTCTTGTATCTCCATATCTCCTACTCTATTTAGGTGGCTCCACCTCGGACAATATTTTATTCAAACATTTTGCTCACGTATTCCCAAAATAATTTTGAATTTTGAAAATCATGAATTGAAAAAATTTTGAATTTTTAAAAATCATTTTAAGTTGACATCTAAAAATGTTCAACATAAGTTTAAATGGCTGTAAAGAATATAATTCTAGTGTTTTATAAATACACGTATCATTCATTTAGGTGGACCCAGTGGAAACTAAATGCCATAAATATTTGATTCCTACTATTACTGATTTTAAAAATACATAAACTTGTATTTCTATTCTACTTCTCCCACAGAATTTTACCCTAATGTAATATTTTTATGCTTGAAAGTTTTTTGCTGGTCATCCAACCATACCTTCTGCAAGGGAAAAAAAATCTGTAAGTTCAACTTGAATTTAATTCCCTGTGACCTTAAGTCTCAGCCTGTCCAGTAAGGCATCTACTTTTAGCCACTGAGCACTTGAAATGTGGCTAGTCTAAATTGATTTGTGCTGTATGTGTGAAATACACACTGGATTTTGAAAACTCATAATGGAAAAAAGAATGTAATATATCTCAATTAAATGTTTAATATTTCTTACATGTGGACATAATATTTTAGGCATGCCTGGTTAATTGTTAAAATAAATTTCATCTGTTTCTTTTTATTTTTTCTTAATATGACAGTGACAAAATTTTCCATTACCTATGTGGTTCATGTAACATTTCTACTGGGCAGTGCTATTCCAAGTGTTAACAGTTTTTTGCTGGGTTGAATTATTGATGCAGCTATTAGTACACAGCTGACCAAATCAACAGAAATATAGTATGAATTCTGATAAAAGCTATTAAACATAGGAAATTTTTTTGGAAAAATTCTTTTAATATAGAATTTTTCAACAACTTCAGACATATGTGCATATATATTACTTATTTCTAGAATGTGTCAGAGTTTAGCATTGAGTATATTCCCATTTTTCATTTTTTAATAGGTGCAAGCATGAGAAAGCTCACTCATGTAAATAGGTAATACTGGAAGCAGTTTTATCATAGTGATATTATTGAATTATTTAAGCTCCTCTTGAGTTATAAGCCAAAAATATTTAATTTTGATATATCACACAAAAATTTGGTTTAATGGTCTTATCTTATGACAGTTCAACTAAATCACTCTTTTGTGATTTTGTTAAAAGCAAAGAATTGAAAATTACTTGACTTGCAAAAGGATCTCTTACCCCAGTTGTTGGAGTGGTTCATTTTCAACATCCACAGCATATTTGTTTTGGCATCCCTGGAAAGTTCAATACTCCAGGACAATGCACCCTAGTAAGAGTCCAGATGGGTGAGGGAATGACTTGCCACTGTGGGAGGAAGGTGACTGTGAAGAGGGAGTGAAAAAGGAAACATGCCCCTCATCACAGGTATGGTCTTAGCCTGGTCAGTTTTAAAGGAAGAGCACATACAGTAGTTGAGGGTCTGGAAGCAGATTCTGTTAAAATTTTCAGTGTCCATTTATCCCTTAGAAAGTTGTCATGTGATCTCAAAGGTCCTCATACCCTCATTGAAGATCACTGTCCTAGACAACTATTGAGACACCTGCAGCTCTACTTGTGCATGTCCATATCAGCATGTTAGCTTCCACTTCTGACAACTCCTGCTCTGTTCATTTACTGTTTATTCAACTATTGTCTATTTCTTGGACCTGTGTTTCAGTTACAGAGGCTACGACTGTAGAAACAATCTGTTCTACACACAAACTGGAGAAGTGGTCTATCACATTGCTGCAGTTGCTGTTGTGTACAACAGGCAACAACACTCCCAGAGGCTGTATCTGGGGCATGATGATGACATACTCAGCCTGACCATCCATCCAGTGAAGGACTATGTGGCCACCGGGCAGGTAGATAATCCTCCTCTAAGATGGCAGTCTTGCCAGACATAAAGAGGATTTAATTTTGAATGCAGTTCACATATTAGAAGTTCAAGAAATACTTGGTAGAAATAAATATCAGGAAGGAAGCAGAAGATTCAGCAAGTGCTGAATTATTTCATGACAGTGGGAGAATCAACCAGTACTTGCTAGCATTGTTGGGAAGCATCTGAGGGATTCTCATCCCAACATGATGAGATCTATGAATAGGATTAGCTAAAAGAATGTAAATTCCATGAATGCACAATCTTAATGTATTTTCCACATCACTGTATGCCCAACAGCTGGTATATCCTAGGTACTCAATTAATGTTTATTAAATGAACCATCTTTTACTACAAGTGTATTATCTAGTGTAGAGTTACTTCTGTAAAACCTAAAGCCATGTGGGAACTTTGGCTAATTTATTATTTTATGTTTTTGCTGTTCAAAAAACTAAGTTTTATTGGAACAACTTTGGAATGCCTAAACTTCGGCTTGAGACTCTAATTGAAAAGCTTTTCAAAATGCAGCCTTCTATTCAGTCATTTTATGTGGGGAAGGAAGATCCCTGAGGCGATACCATACCACACTCTCTACTGTAATTGGTGGGAGGCAAACCAGTGACAAACCAGTATGCCAATTGCCACCCAGGGGTAACTGGGCCTCCAGGGTGGGAGTTGGCCAGATTCCACTCAGTTATGTCAGTGGTTTTATGCCCATTTTCCCTTTTAGAGATATCACACCCAACAGGGTTTTTTCCTATGTATTATATGTTTACTATTATAATTGTAACTATAATTATTTATATAATAATTATTTATTACTTCAATTTTCTCTATTCTTGGGAATTAGTGTAATAAAAGTTCATATCCCCTCCACCATAATGACAGAGTTAAGTCATGAAACTGTCGTTTCCTAGGGGAAGAAGCAGAGCCAGGCTTTCTTGGGTGAGTAAAACAATTGAGATGGGTAAAAGAACTCAGGATAGTGCAATTCACAGTTGACTTCCTTGACCAAGAAGTGGAGTCTTGTGTGGAGTTGAGAGGGCAGGGAAGGGAAAGACAGAACTAACTAACTAACAAAGACAAACCACAGTGGATATTTGAAGTAGAGCTTTAAAAATCCCTTAGCTGGGAGTCAGGTACCAGGTTAGGCTCTACTGGCACCCAATTTGATGCCAGAACAAACCTCCTGGACTTTTCTTGTCTCATTTTCGTCATGTAGAAAATAATAGAGTTGGGCTAGATAATTTCTGAGGATCTTCCTATTCTGCAAATGTTTTTTGATTTCTGAGCAGCATTTGACCTCTAAGGAACAAAGTCATTCTCATTATAATTTAGAAGTAGTTAACAATACTCATGCTGTTGTTTAAGGTTGGAAGAGATGCTGCTGTTCATGTGTGGGACACACAAACTTTGAAATGTATGTCGCTTTTGAAAGGACAACATCAGAGAGGAGTATGTGCGCTGGATTTCTCAGGTAAGCATGTTTTCCACTGGAGTCACTGACAGACAGATCTACATTTACTTAGGAATCTTTTTTAACATCCTCCTAATTTAATTGAGTTCTGTTTGTAATGAGGCTTTAAGTAATCTGTACATCAGTTAACTGATCTTAGACTGAAAATCAGATATTTGAATACCTCATAAAAGAATGTGGCATTTTGATTGATTACACTGTCCTTTCCTTGTCTTCCTCAGTTACTACCCAGCTCTCATACCATGTACTGCATTTGCTTCAGTGATTTGAAATTAGAGCAACTGTTGCTGTTGAAAGACTTAGTTGCAAATGTCTGGCAGTGACTCCAAACATCAATTTCATCTTTCCAAATAAGTGGAAGCTCAGCACTTGTGACTTAAGATGTAAAGAATTAGAGGGAGGGCTGCAAATTCTCTGCAAAGGGCCACTGTACAAACACTGATGTTTTATAAATAAGTTTCATACTGAAAAAATAGAACTTAAGTTTCTATCACCTTAATTTAAAATTTGAACGCAGTACCACTAGAATACTAACTGATAAATAGAATTTTCTTTAGGGTAAGTTCATTTCTTTAAGCTTGAATTGGGAAATGAGGACACAAAAGATATTTTTACTAGACATTTTTAATAATTCCAATTGTAGAAATTAGATCAGTGAAAAAATTCTAAACTTTCTGCAGAAAAATGATTCTTTATTTTTTCTAAATTCCATTCAACTGTTTAATATGTACAAGATATATAATATTAGTCATGAAGTTCCATGACTCCACAACTGTAATCTCTCTCACATGTCCCTCCCTCTCTACTCTCCTTATTTAAGCTCCAACTCGCTGTCATCTGTATCATAATAGTAATGCTGGTCACTGATTCCATCCTCTCTTTGTCTAGTTCATTCTACTCACTTCTGGAGTTTTCTTGAAGCATAGTGACATTGTCACTACATGGAATCCCCATAGTTGGCTAACTCAAGGCAGGGCCCTTGGTTGGGCATTCATGGCCTCCCATGATCTGGCCTCAACCTTGCTTTGCAGTGTGTTCACCTACTAGCCCATTCTTGCTCTACATCTACCTAATAGTAGGACCTAAATGTCCTCTGTCCTTTTTGCCTGTGTTGCTTTGCTCATTTTGCTCCCATGTGTCTGTTGAAATTCTTCCATACTTTTAAGACCATGCTGAAAGTTTTCTCTTCTATCCTTACGGGTTGAAATACCTGTCCCTTCACGCACTGTTGTCATTGCTCTTGCCTTATCTGTTAGAGTCCATGTAATATGGTAGAAATTGTGTCAACCTTCCCTCTGCCCGTCTAAAACACAGTAAACTACTTGGGTAGCAGAGCCCATCTTGCTGACCCCATTGTACAGGTTGTAGTGCTGTGGACATGGAAGATACACCAAAAGTGTAAATGAATGAGATTTTGCTTAAATGTAGCTCGTCTTGCCTTTCACTATTGCTACCAGAAAATGACATTGTCAACTAAGTTAAGGTGAAAATTACCTCTACTTACTCTCTGATCAATAGCATGGTAATTTTTTTATTTTGTGATATGGACATTCTCACACTGTAAACTAATATCCAAATCTGAGTTGTTATATTAATGTTAGAAGTTATTCAGTACTGTTTATAGTTATTGAATTAGTAAATATCAAGGCCAAACAGTTCATACTGTATACTGGTGGGCATGTGAGGTGGAGAAAGCATAAATATCGAGGGAGAGGAAATTGCTCAGCATACCACCTGCCAGTTGCAAGCCCAGATAATACACCCAATAAAGAGTGAATACAAACTCCTAAACTTCCACAGTTTGATGGGCATACCGTTTAAAAATAGGTGGGCCATGTGTACTTGATACAGCAGTAAAATATAAAAGGAAATCATAATTTGAGTTAAAATATGATTCTGCTCCAAAAAGGTGAATGAATTTCTTCTGCCCTTTTTTATAGCTCCATTCCTCAATGACTAAACTGCCTATTTCCTAAAATTAACTTTGCTAACAGATACATTTGAGTATACTTAATATAAAAATTATACTAATAAATATGCTATAGAAGAGGGTAAGACATCCATTACAGTTGTAAAAATAAAAGTGTACTAGATTATGGAGAATTTAATATTCATTTTTTTAATGACATTGAAAATTGGCTCAATAATTCTAGTACAGTTTGACACCATACAATAAAAGCTATAATTGAAAATGACAACTGTGTGAACTATACGTATTTCATATACATTTCTAAGTATCAAATGAAAGAGAAAAAAATCGAACTCAAAATAGCATCTATTGATGCTATTCTATTTAAATGGAAAATGTATGTATGTGTATTAACATGTAAACAGTGTAGCAGGAAATTTAAAATAATATAGTCAGGTCTTTTTTATAGACTTAAGTTTTTGGATTTTAAATTTAGAAAAATCTAAAAAACTGATGTTACTTAAATACCTTTAGAGAAGGGATTAGAGGAAAGTTGATCAAAGACATTAATTATGAGTTAGTAGCAACAAGCTGGTACCAATAACTTGATCTACGCATTTCTGAGAGCGCACATCTCTTCTGGATTTAGTAGTTTTATAGAAGAAAGATCAAGAAATTAAGTGAACTTAGAAATCTTTCTCTTGTAATCTAGTACCTCACATCATTTTGGGATAGAGAAACCAGAATACTCTAGGAAAAGTTTGAGAAGCTGATTCTGTCACTGCTTCTAATTCTTTTTTTCTGGGCAAATAAGTATCCAGATAAGAAATATTATCTTCATAAAAAGGATATTTCAGTTTTAATAATACATTCTTCATTCCCCAGGTAATAATCACTGGGAAGAGCCCATTTATTCAGCAAATGTATTATTTTTGATTGTGGAAAATTACATTTTTGTCTCAGAGTTTAATACAACTTAAATGCAGAAAGGAAGCTACTTGGTAGTTTTGGAAAGCACTAATATTAAGGACTATAGAGGAAGAACTTTCACTATATCTATTTTGCTTGATTCAACTGCTATAAGTACTTACATGTAGATGAATTGTGGTTGATTGTTCTTTGTGGTCTTTATGGTGCTTCCTGAAGGTTTGGGCTGAGGCCACTTTGGTTTAATTTATTTTGGTAATATTTGTGTTATAATGATATAATTTTAGCCTTTGTTTTATATATTTGCCTTGATTTTTATTTATGTTTTTGTAATTTTATTGAATTATAGTTTATATACAATATTATATTGGTTTCAGGTGAACTTAGTGATTCACCAATTATATGCATTATTAAATGCTCACCATAAGTGTAGTTACCACCTGTCACCAAAGATATTACAATATTATTAGCCTTTTATTCCCTATGCTATACTTCAGTCCCTGTGACTAAATTATTTTATAATTTGGAGTTTGTATCTCTTTATCCCCTTCACCTGTTTCAGCTGTTCCCACCCTTACCATGGTAACCAACTGTCCTTTCTCTGTGTTTATGAGTATATTTCTGTTTTGTTTGTTCATTTGTTGTATTTTTCAGATTCCACATATAGGTTAAACCATAAAGTACTTATCTTTTCCTGACTGACTTATTTCACTTAGCGTAATACCCCCTTGGTCCATCCATGTTGTTGCAAATGGCAAGATTTCTTTCTTCTTTTATGGCTGAATAATATTCCATCATGTATATGTACCACATCTTCTTTATCCATTCATCTATTGATGGATAGTTGCTTCCATATCTTGGCTACTGTAAATAATGCTGCAATAAACACAGGGGTGCCTATATATTTTTTGAGTTAATAATTTTATTTTCTTTGGGTAGATTCCCAAAAGTGGAATTGCTGAGTAGTATGATATTTCTATTTTTAGTTTTTTTAAGAAACCTCCATACTACTTTTCATAGTGACTACACCAATTTACAATTGTACCAGCAGTATATGAGTGTTCCCTTTTCTTCACATCCTGGCCAACACTTGTTATTTCTTGTCTGTTGATATTAGCTATTCTGACTAGTGTGAGATGATACCTCACTATAGTATTGTTTGTATTTACCTGATGATTAATGGTGTTGAGCATCTTTTCATGTGTCTGTTGGCCATCTGTATGTCTTCTTTGGAAAAATATCTATTCAGGTCCTCTGCCCATTTTTTATTTGAATTATTTATTTTTTGGAGTTGAGTTATACAAGTTCTTTATATATGTTGGATATTAACCCCTTTGTGCTTACATTAACCCCTTTGTGGATATATCAGTTGCAAATATATTCTCCCATATGGTAGGTTGCCTTTTCATTTTGTTGGTTTCCTTTGCTGTGCAGTAACTTTTTGGTTTGATGTAGCCCCACTTGTTTATTTTTGTTTTTGTTTTCCTTGCCTGGGAAGACAGCCAGAAAAAATTTCTAATGACAATGTTCAAGAATGCCCTGCCTGTTTTCATCTATGAATTTTATGGTTTCAGGTCTTATATTTAGATATTTAATCCATTTTGAATTTATTTTTGTATATGGTGTAAGACAATGATCCAGTTTCATTCTTTTGGACATAGTTGTCCAGTGTTCCCAAGACAATTTAATGAAGAGACTGTCTTTTCCCTATTGTGTAGTCTTTTCTCTTTTGTCATATAGTCATGGGTTTATTTCTGGGCACTCTATTCTGTTCCATTAGTCTATGTATCTGTTCCTTTGGTAGTGCCATACTCTTTTGATTACTATAACTTTGTAATACAGGTTGAAATCAGGGAGTGTGATCCCTCCAGCTTTATTTTTCTCAAGATTGTTTAGGCTATTTGGGCCTTCTGTGGTTCCATTTAAATTTTAGGATTATTTGTTCTAGTTCAGTGAAAAAATGCCATGGTGTTTTGATAGGGATTGCATTGAGTCTGCAGTTGCTTTGAGCATATGGCCATTTTAACAATATTACTTCTTCCCATCCATGAGCAGAGAAAAACTTTCCTTTTATTTGTGTTGTTATCAATGTCTTACAGTTTTTGAGGTACAGGTCTTTTACCTCCTTAGTTAGATTTATTCCTAGGTATTATATTTTTGATGA